TCGATTCTACTACTCAATGTACCTCTATTTCATATATACTCATGTTTAGATGGATTATGTTTTATGTATATGTTTTCTAATCCATCGTCTAGTAGAGTTTAATGTATTTGCCTAAAGGGCTACACTTTTTGTTTACCCTGTTATTGTTTTGCTTGTCTATAGAAGGATTAGAGATGTTATTAAGATCTCCCAGTACCATAATATGTCAACCTATTTCTATTGCTTCTTGGATACATTTGTTGAGGATGTTGATAACTGAACTTTTCTCGTTCCATATCTTGTGCTGGGAAGTATATTCCTATAATTCACATTATTAGTTATTATTTTTGTTGAATTTTAAGGGGTTTTTTCTTGGTATGATGTTGTATTGGGTAGCATGATGATGATATTGATACTAGGTGTTTCTTGGTGTTGTGTATTTTTGATGTTCAAGTTACTCTTCATTATTGTTGATTTGAAGAGGTTTTTGTATTACCTGCAAAGAAATCAATAATTATATTATACATGCAATCCATATTTTGATCTAGTTTTTGCATGGATGATTGGATTTGTTGTTGTTGAGTATGAATGTCTTGGTTACTGTTAGTAGGAACCTCTTCTATTGCTGAGTTATCTTCTCTTTCACTATATAAAATTGTGTCCTCTTCCATGTGTTTGCCATATTCTTCATCATCATAAGTATCAAGATTGATAATACGTTCATTCAGGTCTACAATTTCTTCTTTAATCTATATGATTTCTTGTCTAATTTCATTAAGGATATTTAGGATTTGCGTTAGGTCAGGTTGATGTGTCTGTTCCACTGCTTTGTTTTCTTTTGTTGTTTTGACTGCTGCTACATATGAACCTGATCTGATTTTGGTATATTTGTTGACCAAAGTTTTTTTTCTAATTGTTTCAGTGCATGCAGGTCTGAATCTATTATAGAGTTTGCCAAATCTATTTGCTTGTTCAGTGTTATAGTGGTTCTACTGTTCTCTTTTTTCTTTAATAGAACATTAAATAACTAGATGCATTGTACTGCTACATATTGTGCAGAGTTTTGTGTTGATTGGTTTCCATTCAATTTGGATTTCACTCAGGGTGAAGTTTTGTATTACTGCATTCTCTAAATTATTTGATTACTGAATCTCACTATAGCAAATCGCTTGCATTTGTATGACATATGTCTTGGAATGTAACATGTTTTTGCTTTTGTTTGTTTACATATATATTTGAGATTGAAGGCTGTGATGTTAGGAGGAAGATTGATCAGTTTTACTGCGGTGTTGCCACATACTTTTATTTGATCTATGTCCCATTGTGCGTTAAAAATTCTGACCAAGTCTGATTGCAGCAGGATACTCCACTTATTGATTAGATCTTCTTTTGATTGTTGATCTGTGTATATAATGACTGCTAATTGACACATTTGTTGTATTGACATGGAAATGTTGATAATCTTCCCATATTTGATGAATGTTTGTTGTACATTTATAAATTTAGTATTTAGAGAGATATCTCATACTCTGATACTTATTTCTTTATTTGATTTAGAGGATGTGAAGGTCATATGTTCTAGATGCACATCTTTAGTGTCAAATAAGATAGTCTTGTATGCTTCTTCTGCAGTAAGGTGATCACTGAAATAACAAAGATGTGTTTGTCTTCACCTATTCCTTTACTGTGGATAGAGAGGAGTCCATTAAGAGAGTTAAGGCTTTTGATTATATATGCAATTTTTTGGCTGGTAGTTCTTTCTGGAATAAGGAAGGCCTTGATCTCTGTTTTGACCCTTTCTCTGCCAAATCTAGTGGTGCTATCAATAGAAGTTCTTGGTTCGGGCTTGCTAAGTTTGCTTATCATTTCTTTGATTTTAGGTGTGACCTTTTGTCATGTTTCTTCACTTTGTTAGTTGTCCTTTTTGCTACTACTTAATTCCTCTATCTCTATATCAGAGTCAATATTGTCAGATATAAACTTTTGGGCTTCTTGATTGGTGCTGAGTCTGGTAGTCATATTGCCTATATTTGCTTGGTTATCATTGTTTATTAAATTTTGCCAAATTGGTTTTTCAACTTGTTCACTCCATGAAATTGTTTTTTGTTATTTTGTTGTCTTGTTTCTATTGTTTGATAGGGATTGGAAGTCTGGCTAGTATCTATATGTTGCTGCAATTCGTCTCTAAGGTTTTCTGGCTGGATTTCCTTTTCTTTCCCTTTATCTTTCTTCAAAAGTTTATCTTTCACCGTTTGTGTTTCTTTGCATAACAACCTTGTATTACCTTTAGCTAGAACGTTCTCATTGTAGTTGGGTCTGCCCTGAGCATATTGCTTTTATTGTTCTCTTGAAGAACTCATCTTTCTATTCACTTTTCTTCTTAGTTTACAAAATTGCCTAAAAAGAAAATTTTTAAGAAAAAAAGAATCTGCAAAAAAGAGTTTTTTTTTTTTTTTTTGATTTCAGAATAGCATGTATAAAGTAATCAGATAGAAGAAACCATTTTTCTGAAATAGACTGTAGTCTAAAAAAGTATATAGAAAAGAAATAGTGGACATTCAACAATATATATATATATTAGCAAAAATTAATGACTCCAATGTAAAAATATATATTTTAAAGGCCAAAAAAGTCAGACCAAGTCCAGAATTTTCACTGTGGTCACATGACTAGCAATCAAGACACAACTGAAGCTTATGCAAAATGATCAATTGCTGACTATCCCAATACTCCCTACAAGATATAAGAATATATGAACAATCCATTCATGTCAAAAAGGTAAAAAACCATGAGCTGAGGTAATAGAAAATTAGCTAACTACAAAGTAATTTATGCATGACATAATACTAGAATAGCCATAGTGATTATATAATAGTCCTATATATAAAAATTTATAAATGTAACTTCTTCCAATGACTTAATAAAATGATGAATCTTAAGATGCATCTTTTGGATAGATTGTTATAACAGTAAAGTTATAAGTAGTTTTAAGGAAAACTACCTTGAGACTTACCCAAATCTTTTTACACCTCTGCCTTGTGTTTGTTTTTGTGTGTGTAATAGAAGGATGGACTCTTCTATTTGCAGGTTACATGAGCTTTTGATTATTAGCAACAGACTTATTGATCAGCCTCTACAATGTCAAAGAAGAAGAAGAACCAATCTGAGACTCAAATAATATAAAACTAAAGAAACATATCAAGACTGAGGAAACTAAAGAAGAAGTATACCAAGACCTAGATCACCTTTTGACAGAATAATGAAATATGGAAAAGAAAGATTTAAAGCATAAATTGCAGCAAGTGATATTTCTGGCACAACTATTGATCAAAAGATCACATATTTGACCAAAGCATTAGGAAGTCCAGAAAGTCTTTTCAACATTTGCAAAGAAAAAAAGAGGATATTGGTCACATCACTGCTTTATTTGAGGAGAAACAGGCTGCAGAAGACATATGCAACCTAATAATATCCAATACAAATTATAAAAGTATAATATGCATATGTAAAGCGCATTCTCCAATTCTCACCAGATAATGGATGGAACAATCTCAATGGCACTAGAGTTCAACCACTGAATGTATAAATTTTGAAGTGCGTTCTCGCGTACTTAGTGTAGAGAAAATAAATCAGAAAAAAATAATCATTGGTCAAGATTAACTAAAAAAAATATGCTCATCTAGTTATACAAAAGTATTCAGAATATCTTGGGAGTTGGGATATCGAAGAAAAATATTCTCAATATTTCGTGTACTTTAATCGGAAGGCATATTTAGAATGTTCACTATGTAAATGCCTGGGAAACGGGAAAAACGTATACCCTTGAGCATCTCAAAAATTTTGATAATATAAATTTGCTTGTGTTATCCACATAACAAACATATTCTAGTGCAGTTCCTACAAGGTTGAATCTCAAATCGTATTGTGACGTCGACACCAAGATTATAAACCTCTCGGACCGTCAAAGAGCAGTATGTCAAATTGAAAGTTTGCATCGTATTACCAATAATTGTAAATGTGAGAAAAAATGTAAATGTACACCAATTCTATATTATTTGTGGCTCGATGAAGTAGTATCCATAAATGATCAGGTCTATACTCACTTAGCATGTCGATCAAGGGAGCAGTTATATAAGCTAATTCAAAAAGCTAGATACATTATTGTCATGGATAATGACCTTACTGACCTTAATATAGAATGGATTAAAAGCCTTCATAGAAACAAACCCTTCTCAGTTATTCACAACACTTACCAGCCCCAGAAAGGTAAAACATTCCGCTTAGCATCTAATAAAGAAATTGTATTAACCCTCATTTGCCATCTGAGGAAAGATGTACAAGGAATTATTTTTGCTCTTGGGACTGATTTTCCTGAGTTACGAATTAAAAATTATCGTGGTAAATCCGATCCAGTAGAAAAGGCTCATGATTTTAGTGATATAGAAGAAACATGGAAAAGGTGGATCTTGTTGCATATACTAGCACTTTAAAAATAGGCGTTTCTTGCATCAATCCTAAGTTTGAACGAGCATTCTGTCTCTTTAATAGTTATATGGAAACAAATGCTGGAACTAATCAGATATTATTTCGTATGCGAAGCGTTAAAAATTGTATATGTTATATTGAGCAAAGATCATTGAATGTTTCAATTATAGAAGAGAAACTATTTAATTGACTATTAAAAGCAAAGTGAGAATGCCTTTCTATGAAGGTACGATGAAGATGATGATAGATTTTTTTCCTATATAATTGTATGAAAAGCATGTGTACCTTAGTTGAGTCACGTTAAAATTCTTGTAATTTGGACATATAATATATCGGAAAGAATACACAAGTATAAAATGATGTCCATGTGATTGTGGAATTTCGAGATCGAGCATTCTCTAAGTTTGACAGTTTTTTTATATGTATTATAAAGCACGACTTATAGATCGATCACAGCTCGATTTCACAAAAAAAGTTTTTTCCATTCATACTACTCTTTCATTACTTTTTTTAATCGTAAAAGCTCATGTTGTCTGATGTTACAAGTTCCTCAAATGGTGTCATGTCTAATCTTCCAATAGTTGAATATGTGAAAGCATAGAGTCAAGAGGACGTTAAGACATTTTTGCAAAACAACAAAACTGGATTAGATCTTGAAGACGGAGATATCGATAAAATATATAATCAAAGGATTAAGGGTGATACTTTCCTTGATTTGGCACGGGATGATCTTTTGAGTATTCAAATACCTCTTGGACCCGCAAAAAAAATTGTTAAGCTGATCAAAGAAATTCAAGGAGGGAAGCGAACTTATTCTCGCCTAAACCATGTCAATATTCGCCAATAATACAGAATACTTATTTATTCTTGTACTCTTCTTTCTTGCTTCTTATCATCAAACCTGCCCCCAAAAATACATTTATGTTATCTTAGAGCAACCCGATGCCACTGATAAGTGAGTCGTAATAAATTTAAACTTTGGGACCTTGCTGGATTTTTTGTTAACCATTTTTTGTCTTTACTGTATGATGTCGAATATATTATCTTTTGCTTTTTTTATTTACTACTCCTTATTCTCACAACTTCACTAACACATTAGTTAAGAAAAAAATCGATGATGCATTTCCTGGAGGTACTATATGTAATAAGAAATTCTGCAAAAAAACTCGTCGTTCTTATCCTGACTGATCGGACATACTATTTATATGCTAGAGCTGCCATATGTGATACCAGAACCTTTGCTTTAATCTACTGGTGTTGATTGGGAATATCAACCTCATCCATCATTGAAACATATTTTGCGAAGGGAGCTTAAAAACCATTACACAAATTTTCTTTCAGGGCGTTTTGATAAAATTATGATTCCATTATACCTCTTTCTTTCTGGAGCTGGCACCGGAAAATCTCGAAACGCCAATGAATTTCACCAGACGGCAATCTCTTATTTATCAGAGCCAGAAGATACGGAACTGTTGACCAAGATAAAAGAAGCTTGGGTATTTCATGTTAGCTATGAAAATGGCACCACCTTACAATTGGAAGAATCATCTCCTTATCGTGTCATTGGTCTCGAATGCTATTTCAACTTCTTAGAGAGAAAATGGATCTTGAAGAAATTATCGAAACATACGAGCCAGCAACTCCAGTGGTTGTTATAAAATTAGTTGCCAAATACTATAACCGAAACATGAAAGATATTACGGTTATTTTGGTTGTTGACGGCATGCAATAGCTTATGGTTAACAAAGATGATGGTTTAAAGGAAGATTCTCATTTTTATCAAACTCTCTCAAATATTGCAGACTCTGCATTTAAGGGCATTTTCATAATACCCATTTGTACTTCAACAATAACTGGCCCTGTTGAGGGTTCATTGAAATACTCGCATCGCAAACGCGTATACCTACCCGTCGCTTCTCTGGAACCACCAAACCATCGCCAAGACCATGGGTTGGTTCCAGTCTTTAAAGACGATGAGATTACTAAAATTCTTGTGGAAGACTGTGGAGGGCATGGAAGAACTCTAGAAGCGCTTAATGATTGCTTGGCTGGTCGTAATATTGAAGAATGTAATCTGAATACTTTGAACAGCGAACTGCATTTTAAGCTTACTGAAAGATATCGTGATGCTATTTTTGGTTCCGTGGAAGACACCAGGCCTGTTGCACGAGCAATGATGGATGAGGTTGATATTCCCAATCAACACCAGTAGATTAAAGCAAAGGTTC